TTTTTTTGTTTGATAACTCGTTTGTTTGTTTTTCGGGCTAAAGGAGGCCTGCGTGAGGCGAGCGCCATGTGCGAGTCAGGCACCAGAGGAGGAGCATTTTATCGACCACATGCTTTGGCACATGACTCACTTTTTGCTCTTGCCTTGCGTTTCCCTTTGCTTGCTTTGAAAACGAACAAAAAATTAAGCCCGTGACTGCAGACTGTGGCTGCTGGCGACAATGCCGCTGTTTTCCTTGAGACCAAGACCGATTATATGCGACCCTTTTTTAAACTACAGTAGCCTAATTAATGATCAATAGATCTCGTTAAAATTGTTGCTTACCGAGTTATTCAAAACCTTAATTCCCCATTGCTTAGATATTTTGAGACAGAGGAAAACTGACGTAGACGTTAAGAAGTATTTTGTAGATTGTTTAGAACAGGTGAGTGAGACATGCTTGGACTAAACTCCTGGTCAGTACTGACTTTGAGAACACATGTGTATTGTGTTATCAATGTAACAATGTGTTTGTTTGTTTGTTTGTTTGTTTGTTTGCTTATTTTATGGCAGATTGGCTCATTGTTCCCGAAAACTAGAACATATTTTCACAATGAAACTACACCACAATTATAAGGACAAATTGGGCCGCAAAATATGAAAGTTGGAGTGAAATCGAATTTTGGATGACTTGTAGCTGTTTGTCTGATGCATGCGGACACTAACTCTTAATATGTTTGCTATCAATAAATTCATTATCATTTCTAGGTTTATGAGTTTATCTGAAATCTAAAATTTTATTAAAGGTAACAGTAGTAATGGGTTCCTGAGGTAATTAAAGTGGCTAGAAACTGTTATCCGAAACACCTAAAGGCTAAAGTTGTATTCAAAGCGCTCGAAACCAACTTTCCCTCTTCGTAGTCGAACCAATATTACACATGTGTTGACCAAAGGACTGAAGTTTTAAATAGTGGGCGTGGCATAGCAATCGATATTGTTATAAAAATGTCATAGGGAAATCCTGTTAAAAAGTTTTCAGAGTCGGTCAAGGAAATTGCTCGATATATTTTACACAACTTCAGGAAAGGCCTTGCTGATTGATGACTTTTAATAAACTAGAATTTTTTCGATATTGACATGTACCTCTTTACTCTCGACGGTTTTCTATTACACCCTTGGTATGAGGTTGCTTCTTCTTGCTAGCTGTCTTATGACTCATTGCGCATTGCTTTTTCTATGATTCAGAGCTGAATACCTTCCGTGTGTATTGATACTATCACGGAATGGGGTGAACAGGCAGACAAGTAGGTGCAACTTCCGCAAGTTAAGTCATCTTTTAATAGTTGGCAACGGAAGCAAGTTTATCCCCCTACCCTTCCACTTCTTATCCCAGTTTCCGGATCCCAAGAGTGCATTCTAGATAGTGCAATGCTTTAAAAGTGTGTTGCATTTGCATGGAAAAGGATGGCTACTGAAACGAAGTCAACGTTTTCAAAAGTTATCATAGGAAAATAATAATAATGAATCGTAATTAGTGCTGAGGGCAGTACTGCGCACTGAAATCTCCCTCATTATTTGAGATCGAAACAAGGCTATCCAGTCCATGTTAACGGATTTGGCGCACGGTTTTCGGATGCCGTTGAGCCCCCGCAATCATATTTCGGAAATAGGATGGTTACCAAGCGCTGAACATTGCTCGGGAAAGCACACTCCGACATCCGTCAGAAGGAGGTCATCTCGGGTAGATTTCCG